TGGAACCCCATGGAATATCCAAAATCAGGGGCCAGCCCTTGCTCGGTGCCTGCTGGTTTCCCCTCACCCAATGCCAGAGCATCCCCACGGTTAACGTTAGCGCTTGGAGCAGCGCTTCAGAAGCAGCTCAGCTTCCCTCCGGGGAGTTTTGGAGCTATGAAAGCTCCACCAATCCCTTAACCCTATTGCAAATAGATTTGTTTAAGTGCATTTAATTTATTTTTTTTATTTTTTAAATAGTAAATAGTAACTCAGAACTGCCTGCAGCTGCTCAGAGCCTCGTGTGCCAAGACACCACAGCACTGTGGGTTCAGAGCAGCTCCGCGGGAGGTTGGGTGGTTCACACCAATTCTGGAGCCATCTCTGAAGAATGCTGGCATCTTCAGAGCTCTAAGGCTTTTCTGGAGCAGCTTCGAAGAGGCTGAAGAGGTTTCAAGACATTCAGAGACCTTTCCAGCAGAGCTGGAGTACTTCCGAGCAGCAACAAGGTTTTTTTTAGGAGTTTTAGAGCAGCTTGGAGATGTTTCAGGGTCACTTACGCCCCTTCAGGCTCGTTTGGAGGGGGTTTAGAATGGTTCCAAACAGTTTGGAGAAGTTTAGAGACATTGCTGCAATGTTTAACGCTGTTGGGAGGTACATCGGAAAGGTCCAGAGGAGTTTCGGGGGCCTCTGGGAGGGTGTTAGACCACTTGAAGCATTTCACAGGCATGCAAAAGAGGCCAAGAGTGCTTCAGAGCTCCTTCAATATCTTTTATTTATGATCCACTCTGAGCTATCTCAAGGAGTTTTAGAAGAGCTTAGAGGACTTTGAGAGCTACTTCGAGCCACCTCAAGCAGTTTTGGCATTTTGGTGTCTTTTAGGGCTGGTTTGAGGAGCTTATTCAAGTAATTTGGGTGCTTTGGTGCTGCCCAGAGGTCTACCCTCCCACAGCTCTGAGCTCTCCAGAAGCATTTTACGGCTCCTTGAAGTGACCCAGCATCGCACGAGCACCCTGGAGCCGTTTCCTTACCTGATTTCTATAATGGTTTCAAGCTGTTGGACGTCAAGCGTTTCAGATTTTTTTAGACCAGCTCAGAGCAGCTCACAGGAGCGTGGAGAAGTTTTAAACAAATTTTAGAGTGGTTTAGAGAACTCAGAGCACATTAGAGGTGTTGCCCAGCACGCGGAGCTCTTTGCAGCAGCTCCAGGGGCTGCTCGGAGGATTTCAGAGCAAGTTTGGAGTCATCCAGAGGCACTCCAGGAGCTGAAAAGGTATTTTGCATGTTCAGGCCCTTTGGGGGGGCTTACAGGGGCTGGGAGGACGTGGAGGGAAGCTTAGAGGGGTGTGGAGCAGCTTAGCAGGGTGATTTAAAGCATTTAAAGGATTTTTAGAGTGGTTCAGAGCAGCCGAACGCTCAGAGGGGTGCAGAAAAAAGGGCGTCCTCACCTGGAGCAGCTCCAAGCAAGCCCCGTCCCAGCCCCCTCAAACCCCCCAGAGCAGCAGGACGCCCTGGTCCGGCTCTAAAGGACCCTCACCCCATGGGGACCCCCCAGGAAAGAGCAGGGTGAACCCCCCCTCCCCATCCCACCCTGTTTGGCAGGTGAGGAGGTTTGGGTTCTCTTAGGTCCAGCCTTAACCCCCTCCCTCATGTCCCCCCAAATCTGGGCACTCTTTGGGGTATTTCCACACCCATCCAAGCCTCCCCTATGGAAAGAAAGTCTCGGGACAGGAATAGTAACAGCTTTTAATCCAACAAGAATTGATACATCGTTTAAGACAATACTGTTTTTGCCTCTTTTTTGGGGGGGGACTTCCTTCACATACCGGTGGGGAAAGAGGAACGTTTTTGGGAAGTAGAGTTTTTGTTCTGCTTTTGTTGTTGTTGTTGTTGTTGTCTTTTTTTTTTCATAGGGACTTTAAAGCATGGTGAATGTGCAAGTCAGTGCTTTGTTTGCTTAAAACTTTTTCCCGGTGCTTATTTACAGTTACAGTACCTCTTTGTGAGCGACAGGAAAAAAGACGATTGTTTGAACTGGGGATCCATGATCCCAAGTTGAGAAAAGGCAGATCTCCGATATTTATATATTTATACATATATGCTTTTTTTGTGTATACACAGATACATTTCTCTCTTCTTTAAAGTATTAAAAAAATGATCAACCTTCGTTCTATAAAAATACCTACTCTACAAGATAGAAAAATTTTTTCCCTCTCCAAGTATACACTGATTTACACCCAAAAGCTTCTCTGGAAAT